AAGAGTCAAAATGGCAAAACGACAAGTTTGTCGACCATTTTTTTTGCACCATCGATCGTCGCCAATGGACCTGCAATTGAGTTCGCCATCCCTGCATCTGCTATGTTCGAATAGGAGGAGAGGGAAGAAAACCCTCGCGCAGGGGTAAAACTGGTATTAAAAATATGTGGGGATTGAATTGTCCATTTCAATTTGAAAAAGCACTTCTCCAAAAAGTGTTGAAAAAAATAACTCTCAGGTCACTTTTTCTATAAGTACTTTAAAAAAAAAGTATTTATTGTTGACCTTTTTACCAAACACAGATAAGTACTTCTTTACCACTAAATGGTGGTCCCAACACTTAACTGAAATCAAGCAGGGCCTGACTATGATAATATTGGGTGAATAATGAATAAGATCTCTTTTAGATAATTGGCCACAATATATATAGTAAGGTGTATTAATTTTTGTTACTCAAAGGTATTTTTGAAACTTAGATTGCATAGAAGCAATTTTTTTTGCCATTCTGTTTGTCTATAATGCAATGCCATTTGCACTTGTACAAATGCATGATAGTGCAAATGAAAAGATTGCGAATTCTAGCAAGTTATGTATCACTTAATCTACACTAAAAACAAAGTTTTCTTTCTTCTTCTTCTTCCTTTTGAAAAGAAACTAGAAAGTAAGGTGAAAGTTAAAACGTAAAACTAAAATAAATCAGAATTTGTATTCTCATATTTTTGCACTACTGCAAATGAAATTGCATTGTGTGTTCCAATGGGGATTCTTGTGATAAAGGTAGAGGTGCAATACTAATCTCACATGTGAGTAGCTGTTAAGATAACCCCAAAGAATAAGCAAAAAAAAGAAAAGAAAAGATACCCCAAAGGCTGTTCGTTAACTTACATGTTGGGCTGCATAAAGGAATTTGGTACAATTGACCATTGATGATTTTATGTACAGCAAATATGTCAAACCACATCAAAAGAAAGCTGTGTGGTATATATAGTCTCTCTCTCTTCAAAATAACTGCCATATTTGTAAGGACGAAAATAGGACAACTCAAGACAACTCAGAAAAGTTGTTTGCTTTTTCATCATTTTTCAATGTGCAAAATCATACAGGGAATTGTAGTAATACCCCTTCCAATTATATTGTAGAAGGCTATTCACTATTCATTAATGTGAATAGCTTTGTTTTCTAAAACAAAACAAAACATTGTTTTAGAAAGCAAAGCCATTCACATTGGTGGAAATCGATTTTTTTTTTTTTTTGCAAAGACTTTAGGCTATTCATTCACCATTGAAACCATGGGTTTTAAAACCGGCCCAGGGTCCAGTTATCAGGTCAAATGGTCCGATCGTTCAAACCAGATGGTCGGCCTGTTTTAACAAAAAATAAATAAAAAAAACCGATCAAAACCGTTCGAATGGTTAACCACCTGGGTCAGCGATTTGCTGACCAAAATCAACAGTTTTGGGCAAATTTTCAATTTTGGAGAAAACCGAAACCAGTCACTTAACCGATTCCCAGATTTTCTGGTCTGACCATCTGGTCCGATCCGGTTTTGAAAACTATGATTGAAACAGAAACATCCCATAAACTGGCTTTACCCTCAATTTTTTTAGAGAACAATCAACCCCTATACAAAATTTTAGAATGTCATTGTTTTCTAAACATATAGAAACAAATATGGGTTTGGCATAAAATTATTCTGTTTCTCTCTTATTTTCTATCAAATCAAATACAACCTTGCAGGGAAAAAAAATGTAGATAATTACTTAAATGCGATGCCAAAAATACACCATAATGCCACAACCACTTTTTTAAAAGATCTAGGTTAGGGAGTAGTTTATCCCTCACCCTAAGCCTGATAGATAAAATTCCAACACAAGTTTCCACTACAACCAACCAGAAACCTTTCCAACCAACCAGTTGGCACTTTAGTTAGATGATCTAAGTTGAAGTTATGTAAATCTCTCAATGGTATGCCAAGACAAACCAAACCTTAGCTCTTGGTTTGCCCTTAGCACACCACTTATATTACATGGATGGGAATTCGATCATTAAGACTGTTGATGAAAATTAAATATCTTCCCAAAGAGATATTTTTCTCCCAAAACAATGATAAATGAATATAAAAATGCCATCAAAATCATATGCATATAATAAGGGGATTTTCCATCATTTTTATAATCATAATGCTAACGGAAAGATGCCAAATCAAACAATTCCTTGATCATTCGGTGGCCACTATTACATCGAGTGTTCAATGTTTCAGATATGGATCTCGACGTCAATAAGAAATACATCAAATACATCATGTAATACACAAAAATAAATAAATAAATTCTTGATAAAAATATTAAAGATTTAAATGTCCAAGGGATAACCCGGTCCATATGGGCTAGCTACTGATCAGGCCCATAGGCTGGCAGGATGAGGCCCATGCCAAATGCCAAACCCACTTTATTTTTTGTTGAATCATAGCGAATGGGATCTCTCTCTCTCTCTCTTTTTATATATAAAGTAGAATGAATGAATGAAATTAATGGGATTTGGGCGGGAGACATGCATGTGTTGTAATGACTAATGAGAGTCTCTCAGTCAAGATTTTGGACTTTGTTCAATGAGTATCCATCTAGCAATGACCCTCACTCACATGGCTTGTCCAACTGTCCATCCATCAACTCAACAACCATTGGACCACCCTAAGATTAGTCTTCCCATAAATAATCCACCAGCTGGGTGGTGGGGCCGTGGGGGCTGTAATTGGGTCGGATTCACATTGGATTTAGGTTCAACCACATCCGAATTCAATAATAGAAATCGTAACACCCCCAAAAAAAACGGAAAGTTCAAATCCCACCGAAGCAGCTTTACAATAGATTCGGATCTTATATCGGATGCATATATAATCTGAGTCCGCTTTATTATCTATAAAATCAAGAAATTATTTGTAGTTCAAAACAATTGGATCGGACTTCGGATTTTGGACTTCATCGTCGACAGTTAGTAATCACAGATGCAAAAAGAAAGAAAGGTGGCGGTTGGGGAGGGAAAATCATGTGTACAGCTCGTGGCTGCCCCACCATGATAGAACATTGTCCATAAATAATGCCCCGACCACTTGATCTTAAACGGTCTTAATAGAGTCCGAATGGGCTGAGAACAAGACCCTACACATGCTTTTTATTGTCATTGATGGAGAGTTATAATTACTTGTGCAGAGGCTGTGGCCAGCGTTTTGTGATGAGCAGATTGCCAGATTCCCCACTCGTCTCCTTAGCCTTAGTCATCGTACCTGAAATGCTGAACTCTTGTCTGTGTTTTATTCTTCTACGGACTGACGGTCGGGATGAAGTAACAAGGGTGTCGATGGTGGACCCCCAAGCAAAACCTATCAAGTTGTGCATCTCAAGCCTTACATGTGGGCCACGTGTCAGAAGTCTGGCATGTAAAAGTACAGAGTTTTGCACTTCTGATTTGCAGTTTGCGATGTAATTAGGATTGTAGCATGCTCCGCTTCAATTGCTGAATATAGAATTACGGTTGTCGCCTACTCGCCTGTCGCCCTTCAAATCTGGAACATTACTCGAAAGTCGAAACCCTTTGTCCTCACTCCTCAGTCCTCCTCCACCATGTGAATGAATATGTGATGTGATTCAAGTTGGCTATGGCCGACACTCTTCTTTGTCTTTCTAAATTCTAATCCAAGATGAATAATATTCACGCGTTAGAGATCCGGATCTGGATCTATCTCTAACTCTAACACTTCCCCATAGTGCCTACGTGTATTAGACGCTCGTGCCGATAGAATCTGGTGAGTATGGACTTGAAAGTTGAAATAAAAGGTTGTTGAGCTTTTTTATTTCTGAAATCAATGGAAATTAAAAAGATCATGGAGGAGGGACCCACCTTTTGCTTTTGCTATCGATTGCATACAGTTCACGACACGATGAAGGGGAAGGATGTGTCGGTGATGGCGACGATCATGTGTGGGAGGGCGAGAGAGAGAGATGGTCCGCGGTGCTTGTTGAGTTGTTTGTTATATGTGGACTTCACATCATAACGTATTATGAGAATAAAAGATTCCGATCAAGTGACGAGAATGGCTTCACAATCCTTGTCACAAAGGTCTGTCATGAAAAGTTGAAAAGTCTATATATGTGCCACTTGATCTTGTGTCAGAGGTGCTTCCTTGGCCCTTGGGTAGCTCGGCCGAGGGAATTCATTTTGATCCTTCGTATCCTTCCGTTGGATTTTAATCGTGAAAAATGTGATTCTTATATTTTTGGCTCAACGGTAAGGGGTGGAGAATGAGCAAAGATCGGTATCTCGGGGACGGACCGACAATCACTATATATGGGGACTGGGGACTGGGGAGGGCGCTCACGTGATTACTTTCATTTAATCCTATACCCTATTGCCACGTGTTAAAAATCCTGAATAAATATAAAACGACGCAGCCGACGCTCATACGAGCTATGTTACATTGTTACCAACTTACCACTTATAAGTTGACTGCCCTCTACCCTCAGAATATGCAGCAGACCTAGAACAATTCAAAATTATAAACGTTCCATCACAGTTCTCTCCGTGATTTACGGTGTCAAAAATCATGGGACTACTTATTACAGTAGCTTGCGTCACACTATTTGACGTCTCTTGCCTTTCCTAACTCCTAAATCCTAATCACTCGAATCCATCGAGTATTCCGTATTCGTCGTCGTTGGTGGTTTTTATGTAATTATCTCAAAAATGGGATGGCAACCTACTTACCAAGTTACCATGAAAAACAGGAGAGTACAGCGAAGGAAGTTAGAGAAAGACTCAAAGAAGCGTGATTCGGTTTAAACCCGAGTTGGGAATGACTACAAATCAGTGTGGGCCTGGTCCGCATGGGTTGGAGGGAACTCAAATATACTTCTTGTATCGTAGATCATTTCTATTTCTACAATTAGGGTCATTTTTTTGAGGAATTTCCAGTTTTGTCCAAGTTTTCGTCTGAGAGGGAGGGACTAGGGAGAGAAGTACGCAAAGATGAAAATAGCAATAGGAGAAATGAACGGAAAACTGAAGCTTGATTAGGATAGTAGAGCTGTAGAGGAGGCAGAGCTAATAAAAATATTACTTTTAAAAAACAGGAGGTAAAGAAAGAAACACAAAAACAAGGACGAAGCGAGAAAGTAGCGTTTTTATATAAGGATTCAAGGAGGCTCCTCAGAAATTTGAGGAAATGCTTCTCTCTTAATCCGAGGTCGCTTCTCTTTCTTTCTTTATTTTCCTTCTTTTCTTTCTCATATCTGTTCCCCGAGCTGTTTTTCCGGGATTACGGTGGATCACTAGCTTGATTCATTGCAGATAACTAGCACCAGCCCAAAAAGAAGATAAAGACAGACCTGAACCAACGAGAGAAGCTCTCCGTTCTCCATTAAGTTCGTTCCATCTCTCTGTTTCATAGTTTAATTGTATTAAGTATGAATTGTTTTATGCATTTGGTAACTGTATCTCACTTCAAATGGAATACTCGTGGCAATGGATTCCTCGAGTTGCGTTCTTTGCTTCTGTTAAATTTCGCTCTGTGTATGTATATCGACGTGCGTTGTGTACTCTGTTTTGAACGTTTTCCGTTTCTAGTAGTGTTTTTTGTTGCAGTAGATTGGAAACTCAACAAGATTGTATGTTTTAGATGCTTCTCTGTAATAACGAATGTGTTATCTACTCGTTCTTTGACTTGATCTTGTTTGGGCTTTGTTATATTTTATTATGCCTTGATGTTTAAATTTGATTTACTTACTCTTCGTGTATTGTTCAGAATCTATCGATGCTCTCTATCTTCTTAATTTGTTCTTTTCTTTTGGCTTTTCATTGTTAGGTGAGATTCACTGTTCTTTTCTTTCTTTTCCTTTTGAATTAATAGGCAGAGTCCTTATGAGAGCACCTAAGAGTCATTAATTTGACTAGAGAAGGGAACTCTTCATTGCCGTAGTTGCTATTTAATTACCTTTGATCCCGGTACCAACTAGTATTTTTTTTTCTTTTATCAGTCTTTCCTTATCTTTTCTTGTCCTTTTTTTTCTTTCTCTGTTCTGCCCAAATATTTTGGGATAATTTGGTTATAGAGGTGAAAACGCTTCATGATTCTTTATTCGAGAATTGATCAATGATTGAGGTATCTGTTTTAAGGCTACTTTCTCATGGAAGCTGGCATAGTTAAGAAGAAACTGAAATGCTTTATTTACATGTTGACCAACCTTTGGTAGTTCAATGTTCATGCATAATATCTATGCATAATAGTGCACTAATAAATTAGAAGTTCGGCATTTTTTTGGGCTGGATTTTGGAACATTGGTCTTGTCAAAGATAGTTCTCCATACATTAGTTTCCTACTCTGCCTTAAGATGTATCATTCTTCTGCAGATACTTGGTTATCATGGGAAACATGAAGTACAAAGATAAAGATGGAAAACCATACCCTCATAGAAGTTCTAGGGTGATGCCCATGACTTTGATGCTTCTTATACTTTGTGGTTTTTCCTTCTATCTTGGTGGTATTTTGTGCTCTGAGAAGAACAGATTCCTTGCAAAGGACTTAAAGAAGGATATTTCTAGACCAGTACACTCTTCAAAAGAAGCCATATCTGCTCCTCTTAAAGTTCAACCAGTCATGTTCCCCGAGTGTGGTATCGACTACCAAGACTACACTCCATGCACAGACCCAAAGGTATTCCTTGACCACTGTATTCGTTCTGTAATGGACTTTTATTGATCAGGCTCAAGGTATATAGTACCAAGTTGCTTAATTGGAATATATCTTGTTTTGCAGAGGTGGAGGAAGTATGACCTACATAGACTTACTTTTTTGGAACGGCACTGCCCTCCAATCTTTGAAAGAAAAGAATGCTTAGTTCCTCCACCAAACGGCTACCGGGTTCCAATCAGATGGCCAAAGAGCAGGGGTCAATGTTGGTATAGGTAATGCAGCTGTCTGTATCTAAATTCCGCTGCTTCAGTAGTTTGTCTTCTCGTTTTCTCTTTAGTAAATACTGTTGAGTGTACCATATATGTCATTTCAGAAATGTTCCTTATGATTGGATTAACAAGCAGAAATCTAATCAGAACTGGCTGAGAAAAGAAGGAGATAAGTTCCTCTTTCCTGGTGGAGGTACAATGTTCCCCAAAGGAGTTAGTGCATATGTTGATTTGATGCAGGATTTGATTCCTGAAATGCAAGATGGATCCATCAGAACTGCTCTTGATACAGGGTGTGGGGTGAGTGCTTTTCTTTCTTGTTCTTTTACAATACTGGTGTAGAATTTCGACTCCTGAACAAATGTAATTTATTGACATGTAACAAATGTATGCTGATGTTAACTCACTTATAATTTAAGCTTCTCAATTGAAGAGATTTTTGTTAACAGTGTGTGGATATTTCATTTGCCCCTGTTTTTTACTAGTACCTATATGCTAGTTGATTACTTGGGAAATAAGTGAAAATAATGCAACTGTTACAAGAAGTGCATGCTAATTCTTTCTCTAAGTTATTCTATTTCAGTCATATTATGTTCATGAATATTGATTTGATAGTCCTTGCTTTTGGTTGTTTCCCAATTCCCATCCCCCTCTGTTAGTTGGACATGTTTTACTAGATCATCTTATTGACGACCAAGGTAACAAGTAGTCATATTCTGCAATGTTGGCCCAGTTTCTTCTCAGAGGCATCCTCTCTCTCTCTCTCTCTCTCTCTCCCTCCCTCCCTCCCTCCCTCCCTCTCCCTGGAAAAGGAAAAAATAAATTAATCTATGTCAATACTCTGGAGAAAGGTTGCTTTCTATCGCTAGAGAGCATTTCACATTATCTATTTTGCCTGTGGTGATATATAGATTATTTTATACAAATACCTTTTTACTCATTTACAACTAACTAGATACTTTTATCCCTTTTCCCAGGTTGCTAGCTGGGGAGGTGACTTATTAGATCGTGGGATTTTGACCGTCTCTCTAGCACCAAGAGATAACCATGAGGCTCAAGTTCAATTTGCACTAGAACGTGGAATACCAGCAATCTTGGGTATAATTTCCACACAACGGCTTCCATTCCCCTCCAATTCATTTGATATGGCACATTGTTCAAGGTGTCTTATCCCATGGACAGAATTTGGTAATTTCTTCTCTCTAAACTCTTGATGCTGTTTATTAACAATTATGACTTGATTTGGAGACCAAAATGTACACAAATACATGAAACAGAAATATGGTTCCTCATTTCCTGAAATCCCGGCAAGGGATATCGCTATGAATAATTCCTTATAATATGCTCATCTCGTGCTTCTTCATCTAGCCTTTGAGGCCCTGTTCATTTACCCGTAAATAAGAAGGGGAAAGTCGGTCAATGAGTATCTCTTTTTCATTGACCAACTTTATAGTGTTCATTTTACATTAAGTATTGGGCCCTATGGTAAAGAGAGATTCATTTATTCGGTTAAAACTTATGTATCTCTGAGGTGGGCAAGTAACTTTCCCACTTAAAGGAAAATTTATAAAACATGATGGGACAAATTTATCCTTTTTAACATTAGCTTTTTATATATAAAAATGTCATTATATTACTTACCTGGGAACCGAAAGAACATGAATAAGTGATATTTTAACATGCATAGACTTTCTAATATTATAACTTCTTCAAATTTACTTTTACATATTCTTAAGTGTGTTAATATCTGTTGTCATATTCAGTATGCATTACATCCAACACTGGTATGCTAGGCATGCACAGGTTTCTGTATCATAGTTATATATTGGGGACAATCGTAGTTGCATGATTGTTTTTTATCAGTTAGACTAAATTACATACTTTAGTACAAATATTTATTACATTTTCTGCCTTCTATTTTCTTGATTTTTTGGCCAAAAAATTAAAATTATTGATGTTGGGCTTTTCATTTTATCTGTAGTATATTTATTTTTAAAGGAAACTTAAGATGCCTATGTGATATAATAATAGGAAGGAAGCACAAACCTAAGAGCCTCCTCTGCTCGGGTGAGACAATTGGATGATATTAACAATTTCTTTTGGCATTATGAAATACATGGTGAATGGTTTAGAAAAAGTCAAAAGGGGTAAAATGTTTTATGCCAGATGTTCATGATCTAGTTGATTTATCTTTTCCTAATGACATTCATTTGTATATATATTTTGATTGATAAATTACATTTGATTAATTTGATCATTTTAACTAATTTGTAAGTTTCATTAAGATAAACATCAAAAGCATCTATATTTATTCCTAGTTTTAGTGACAATCACCACTGACGGTGAGTAATTGGCTTTCTTTAAGGTGGAATATATCTCCTAGAAATACATCGTATCCTTCGACCTGGTGGCTTTTGGGTCCTCTCTGGGCCACCGGTGAACTATGAGAACCGATGGCGAGGATGGAACACAACTATTGAAGAGCAGAGATCAGATTATGAGAAACTACATGAGTTACTAACCTCCATGTGCTTTGAATTATACAATAAAAAAGATGATATTGCTGTGTGGCAAAAATCTCTGGATAATAGCTGTTATGATAATCTTGCTACTCCAGATGTCTATCCACCCAAGTGTGATGATAGTACTGAACCTGATTCTGCATGGTACACTCCACTCCGTTCTTGTGTTTCTGTTCCAAATTCGAACCTAAAGAAATTGGGGTTGAAATATCTCCCAAAATGGCCTCTTCGACTGCATGTAGCCCCTGAACGCACTGGAACCATTCATGGTGGAAGTTCTGGGGCATTCAATCAGGATGACAATAAATGGAAGGTGCGGGCCAAGCACTACAAGAAGTTACTTCATGCAATTGGGACTGACAAGATAAGGAATGTTATGGATATGAATACAGTGTATGGTGGCTTTGCTGCAGCTGTGATCAATGATCCCCTGTGGGTTATGAATGTTGTTTCTTCCTATGCTCTTAATACACTCCCGGTGATCTATGACAGAGGGTTGATTGGAACCTACCATGACTGGTAATTTAAATGCATATGATAATCGATTTATACAATATTCACATTATTAAGCACTACAGAATGAAGCTTGATATCCCACAAAAAGGCAGATTGTCATGCAACATTTTGCTTATTATCAAATTAACATCTTACTATATTTTCTTGGTTTGCTATGATTGAGATTAGCTGTCTCTTGGCAGGTGTGAAGCATTCTCAACATACCCTCGAACATATGATCTCTTGCACCTTGATGGGCTCTTCACTGCTGAAAGCCACAGGTAAAGGACTTTCAACTTGGTTTACATCATTTCATTATGTGAAGCAAATCATTTCATGTTTTCGGTAAATGCCTTAGTTTCTTTCTAGTCTAACATAGTGTGTGAGCTACTGGTGACAAGTGTGAGTCCATGTTAACATTGTCCCATTTACTTTTTGGCAATATTGGTTTGGTAATCTTGATAAGCAGCCTGCATATTGCATCACAAAACGCTACAGTTGCGCATTGTCACAATAAGTAAATTGTAGAAATGAATCAGATTCTCTTTACTCATTTTGAAAGGAGTCCATATTTTCCAGTTTTGATGCAAGTGACAAACTTTGGCAGGTGTGACATGAAGTATGTGCTCTTGGAGATGGATCGCATTCTCCGGCCAAATGGTTATGCAATAATTCGAGAATCTAGCTACTTTGTGGATGTTGTGGCAACCATTGCCAAGGGGATGAGGTGGAATTGCAGGAAGGAAAATACTGAATATAAAGTGGAGGAAGAAAAAGTATTGATCTGTCAGAAGAAACTCTGGTACTCCTCTAACAAAAGTCTTAGATAAAACATAGAGAAAAGACCAAAGAAGACAAAACGTGGTGGAAAATTCACCAAGAAGATTTGTAGAGAGAGGAAACGAACGAGAGGCATAATTTCTTGAAGTGAAGATAGAAGTTCCAAAATCTTTCCAGCCAGAAGGAAAATCTTTCAGTTAAGAGGTCAAAATATCATAGGTATCATATCAAGATGTGGTTAAGTTCCCCGATAATCTGATTCATTAATTTCTAGTTCCTCGTACAGATATATTCTTTTATAGGCAGTGAGCAAACATTAGACGAACGTTTTTTTCTTTTCTTCTTTTTTGGGCCTTTTTCTGTTAATATTATATAATTTGGGAAGTAGAAACTGTATCAAATTTTAAGTGCCTGGTGATCACAGCATTCTATTCATCTGTTGGGCATCTGCTAAGAGGCACCTGTTTCCCGTTTTGTTGATTCTAGCATAAGATTAGTGTCTGTAAATGCTGGATTTTTCGTTCTTATCTGTGGTAAGATCTGAAAGCTTGCCTCAGTAGCAACATTTGACAGCCTGGCTATGTTAGATCCTTTCAAATAAATAAAGAGAAACAACAATAATTTTAACATGGAATCATGACAAGTAAGAAGCAAATTAAAGCATGAATGGGAGTCTGGGTAAAGCTGCAAGGGTTTTTGGCATGTTTGGTTCACTGTCACAGGCATCATTATTTAAATTCTTACTCATTCTGTACAAGAATGAACTAGAATGAATAACGTGAGAGTGTTTGGTTACAAAATTCTTGCGATGGGTCTCATTCATTTTAGAATGAAAAATGGCCCCATGGCCCAAAAATTGGTGTAGCTTGCAGCACGAAAAATAACCGTGCCCCAGGTTGTCCATTCACATTCCTCCTTTGACTCTATCATACCCTCTCTCCCTCTCTCTGGATATTCACAGTGGTCTCTCTCTCTCTCTCATGGTAGAGCCTTAGGGTTATTTGCAGTTTTGGTAAGCACTCTCTCTCCTCATCAGCCCAACTGGCCTTTCAGCACTTATTTTTCCTCTCTGCAAAGCTGTGGTTCTCTAGTTGTCTAATCATTTAAGTCATCTATTTGTCCTGTTTTTTGCACACAAAACCCTAATCTATTAGCTCTTTATCTGCAATCTAGGTTTGCTTTTTTGGCTCAGGTTTGAGAGAGGTGATACTTTCTCATTCACATGGTGTTTACTAATCCAAGAAAGGGGAGGACATGCAAAGGTATTTTGAGCATTGATCTCTTGATCTTGTTTGTCTTGGTTTTGAGCATCTCTAGTATGCGCAAAATTAATCATTTCAGTTCAACAGAATTGAATTTACATGTCTAAATTAGTTTTTGTTTTTTTACGGATCCTATGTTGGATTGTCAATCTGAGTCTTCTAGGTTTTCTATATTAGAAACTTTGCATGCATTTCAGTAAATATCCATTTGTTTCCATAGAGACCTGTTGATAACAGCCAAGTCAATCTCATTTTCCAAATCTCTCAGGGCTGGTTTACAATTTATGTTGGATCACAAACCTTTCAATAGAACCTGCATATAAACCATTCACAAATCAGAGCTCTTTTAGAGTAGCATACTGAGAAAAACAGTTTGGTTGCATAATTGTATTAGTATCAGTTACACTGTTACCCAAAATTAAACTTTTTTCGATAGCTGAAGTCTAACCTTTCTTATCCTCTATGCATTACAGAAGATTAGTCAATCACATTCTTACCTCTTTAATTTACTCTGGGAATGGCATGTAAGGACATTCTTGCATGGTTTATTGATACCATAGGGAAGAGATAACAACAGTTGGTAAATGATTTAACTAGGGTGTTGGTTCCATCATCTTTTGGTCCTTATGGAAATGCAGAAATGAACCTACTTTATGACTAAACTAACCAATAGCTGATAGGAAACAACAAGGTCATAGAGTGATGCCATAATGGGCTTGCCAAGGTACCTTGAGGATGTATGACAGTATTTGAGCCAAAGATTTATTAGTGGTGCTCACCTACCCATCATTTTCCAAGTTTTGGCATTAACATAGAGATTACAACTTCACAAGGTGATTGTGTTTCCACTTCCAGTTTTGTTTCTTGGCCTACTTTTAACGCAGTCTTGTACTGTTATAGCTTATGATTTCTACCAATTGTTTTAACCGTGGTGTCGCTAAGCAATCCTTGTACAATAGAAGTATCTGGAACATCCTTTCTTTCATTTTACATTGTTTCCCTCTTCATAGTATACTTTAGAAGGAATTGCAGGTTTTCTTAAAAATACCTTTCTGTACAGATAAGAACAGCCACAAACATGATCTCATAACCATGATCTCACAGGTTGAATCAGAAAAGTTTTGGTGTTTTCCTTACTTCTTGGGTTTACATTTCTAATCTTTTTTATTACAACTTCATATTTTTAGTGTCTTCCAGAAATTTTGTGGTTATTTCTTTTATTTAACTTCATGCTACTTAATAATCCAGTGGGACTCAAACCTGCAACTGTTGGTAGTTTGACCACTAGTTCCAAGTGCCGGTGGATATAAGAATGCTGTAAGAAATGGTGAAATAAAAATCCTTGTCCATTCCAACTTCAACTTGTGAGAATGGAGAAGGTTTTGGCATAGGCTCCACAGTTACCGTTTCTTTCTTTACAACCTTCCTTACATCTATAGCTGTGTAACCTATAACAGAGTGAAACCAGTCAACCCCCAACTGCAAAGGAGAAAGCATCCTCTCATTTCCTAGAAAGAGAAAAAAAAATTACCTACCTAAAAGTCTAGCCTAGTGTATCTGTGTTAACAACCAATGGGATGCTGACATGAAAACTAAAAGAAAGAAACAAGCTTGGTCAGGAAGCATATGATTCAAATAACCATTGGAAGACCTAATCAAAGATAGCATAACAGAGGTAAAATCAAAATCAAGGGCAATTTCCATGAGGTTGATCTAAAAATTTTGTTCAAAATCTGAAGCTTGAGGTTCCAAATTTTGAGCTTATAGAGATTGTTAAAGTCCCCAACTTTTGTGTGTGATATACTATTCCCTGATCAACCATAAAAGCTACCGTAGAGCGTTAATGTTGTACAGAAGGTACTTGGCATGTTCTCGATGTGCCAGGAGAAAGAATTATTTTTCCGATGACCCATACATATTAAACCAATCTCTTAGATCAGAATCTAGGCAAGAGAAAAACTTGGTCATTAACTACTAGTTCAAAAGAATCAGGACTTGTAAAAGATAACCATGATTTCAAAAGGAACATGGGTTGAGCAAAGCAAAACTCATCCGTGTTATGTTAAGGACAATTTGTGGCAAAGAAAATTCACCTATTCATTTGAGCAAATAAACTTCTCAATCTGGAACAGTCTCATCTATTCCATCAGAAACACAGGTCCATAATAGGGTGGTTTCAGTACATACTCCATTCAAGAAGTGTGGTGCCCAGGCCAGTATGAGAATGATAGCATCAATGTGTACGATTATATTTGCCAAGCGAGGACAATCAATAAACATGAAGTCATCATCACAACCAAATGCATAAAACCTTTCTTGTTTCTTGTATTTTTTTTCTTTTTCATAGTTTGTATTATTGGTGTGTGGCCCACGTGCTTTGTTGGTGTAAGTTTTGCATTTTTCTACTATATATCTTCCAGACTTCCATCGAGTATTGTATTTATACCTTTGTTATTATTGTGGTTAATAACGACATTTGCAATCCAATGGGTTCAAAATTTATTATCATTATTGTCACAAAAAGAATTCTTTTTTTTTTTTTTTGAAAATAAAAGTGTTTGCTTCATAGCAACATTTTCTCGTTTGCCCATTTATCCTCTTTTCTTGTCCATTCTAGAATTTCATTATGAAGAAAAATAAGAATGAGAGTTGAACTAAAACATGGCTTTAGGCTCTCATATGGATATTGGCAGGAAGAATAGCTCATATTGACAGGGTAATCTGCTCGATTGAACCTGGATCTGCTTATTGCACCACTGTGTTGCAGGATATATATATAACCAATGACAAGTAAACATGCCACTGTTCCATACTCTGTCATTTGAGCTCCATGTGTACAGAACGCCGGCGTGTTTACTCGTGATTGGTTATGTAGCCCACCATACACAGCAATTCGAGCGGCCCATCCCTAAAATGTGCTTGATTGGGCCCTTTTTACACGGTTCTTTTGATTTTCATGTTCTTAACCTTGGATGTTTTGGTTTATCTATTATATCAATTTTCTAAGAGGTAGCATCCTTTGCTGTATCCTTTTAACTTGTTTGCCGGAATGAGGTTTTCCTACGTGAAAAAAGAGAGAATTTAATTAAGTAGGCTAAGTAGGGATGCTAATGCTTTTAAGTTGAAGTACAAAATCTGGAAAGTGATCAGTGCTCTGGAAAGATTTTAAAAATGGTAGTTTAATTATAAAAGGGCATAACATGTAAAAAACTGAGTATTCACTTTACATTGTTGTGCACCAACAGGCCTACAATTCTTTGGCCTCACCTCAAAAACAATGTAGAATAAGAATGATTTAAACTCTAGGGGCAGGTTGAAAAGAAATTGGGTGAAAACGATAAGAAATGATTTAAACGCCCGTAATTTAATGATCGATATAATGTTGGATAGAAAAGAATGGAAAAAACAACATTCATTAGAGTTGAGCAAATGGGTAGGTTCTACTTACAATCGAATGGAACCAACCTTGAACTGGCCTTGAACCAACCCTACCCAATCTGTTACAAGGTAGGGTTTGGTTCCAAATTCTTGGAACCAACCCCCACCCATGCTAGTTCCAGGGTCTAGGGGTTTATCTTACCTGAACCAACCCAATTAATCAGCCTTGGTTAGCCTTGGTGGAACCGACCTTATATGAACCTGCCTTAGAACCGAACTTGCCTTGAAATAAACCCCAAAATACTTTTGGGAATGTAAAGATTTGAAACCAAGCATTCATGGTTACAAAGGCCATGGTCTCACTTGACCATTGAGTTGCTTAAGTAATTTGATATTTTATTTTCATTTTAATATTTGAGTGTATACAATAAATAGTGTAAAAGATAATATTTACAAAATGTAAATTTAATTTATAAGTTTTAACCATATAATGGTAATCTACATATAAAGTTATCCAATTTAATCAATAAAAGATAATATAAGTTTCAAACTATATTATATTTATTAAAAATCAAGTTTTTAAAGAACATTTTTTTTTGTGAATGGGGAGAGTAAAGAAAGTACAGGTTCCATGGATAGACCCTGGAATCGACCCCGAAACCACCAAGGCCAGAATCGACCTTCACAGGGTAGGATCCAGTTCCAAAAACCTTTTAAAAGGTTTAAATTTAAGAAACTGCAAAGGTATTATTAAAAAAAATTAAATTTCCAATGTAAAATATTTTAAACTAGAAAATATGGAAGTTTTCCCACTTTCCCATATTAAAAAATTTAAATGTAAAACATATATGGTCTAGTCAGATCGGTTTTGGTCAGTTTACACATAG